AGTGAAGCTAGAACTAGAAAAGTGACCAAAGAAAAATATGTTGAGATTTTCATACCTATTTTACACTGATTTTGATGATATTGAACTTTAAAGAAATGTATTTTTGATGTTTTGTTGCAGGTATGTTGAATTATGGTCATTAGAGCAAAACGATGCAAAAATGAGCGAATTTGGAGCAAAAAAGACCAAAATATGAAGATTTGATCTTGGGCACCGACGGTGGGTTTTTCCCGAGAGTCCAGAATTAAATATTCTAGAAGGCCGATGACGGCGCCATCGAGGCCGCTGTTGGCGAGAACGACGGTTCTCTCAATAGATGCATTGAATGTGGACGATTTTTGAAGGGATGCTTATGCAACTCTTGAAAACTCTTCTACAACTTTAAGAGAAATATTTTGGAGGCTGAAAAAGGGGAGTCCAAAGTGTCCAGAGAGTGTCGAGAGGTCTACAGGTGTCTAGGGGAGTGTACTTCAGGGTTAGGTATTGTGAGGAACTCTTCGAGAGATTGTAAGAGTGGAAGGAAAGTGAGAGAAAAGTGAGTCCTTGTCGCTTCAAAGGAGAATTTTGTGTGCCACTTCGAAGGAGAATTTTGTGTGCTGTAAAGAAAGGAAGAAATTCAGGGGAGCTTGGAGGAGTTACTTGGGAAGGAATTCGAGATAAGTTGTATTTACTTATTGTAGTTTGTATGACTTTGCTTTTATATATGAAATCCAAGTTTTGTCGTATCTTCTCCATGAGTTCTGAGTAGTTTTCTCTGTCTTTCTCCTTGTCTTGAGATTTTGTGAAATGGTGGTTTGAATTGGTTGTGCCATGAGAATGTTAAAGAAGTTGTGATGATCTTTTCACTTTAATCTTAATTTACTTACAATATAGGCAATTGATTTGTTAAAATATGTTGAGTTTTACAACTAAAGTGAGGATTACATCCAAGATTTAAGGAAGTCAAAGTCCTTGAAAGTTGGGTGCAAATAAATAGGGAAATAAAAATTATCGGGTGTAGAATTGGAGATTTTAGAGTAACAGACTAAAATCCTCAATTAGGTCCTATCGTTTGGGTGCTGAAGTGTAGATGTTAGCCCTCAAGCGAGGGGAACGTGGTAGCTCTGAAGTGAGAGTCGTTATCCTCCCAGCCTAGCCGCAGATTCAGTAACCAAGCATAGGATTAGTTAATGTTCTTTATGTCTGGGTCCAAAGGGTAAAGAATATGTATGCTCTTATTTGACTCAATACAATTTGAACCGATTCAATTTATCCATTCACTTAAATTTCTTGACAATGAGAAGGATGTTTTCTTATATGTTGAACTTCACATTAGATACTTTATTAGTAAAATTAGTTGATTGAGAGTTTATTAAAATTATATTTTTATTTTAATTGCCTATTAGTGACAAATATGCAATTTGAACTATGTTGTTGTGATTAAGTATTGATTTTCTAAATCTTAAGTTCGTAACCTCTAATATTACTCCCTGTGGGATCGATATCCAGGACTCAATTAGAGCCATGTATTACTTGAGCGATACGTATACTTGCGTTGATATGTGTGACTTTGCAATTATTGAATATTTTATACACATCCTTATCAAATCTATAACTGTTGTCATGTTTTTGGCGCCGTTGCCGGAGATTTAAATCTTCTAGCAGCAGTATCAAATTCTTATATTTTTTAGCATATATAAAGTCGTTGTCAAAAAGCCCAAATCAAATAGTAGAGAGTTCACTATAGTTTTAGCAAACTTAGTCATGATTGACAAGTTAGGAGTTATGCCCCTTTTCCTCTCAGTAATCATATTGAAATCCCCTCCTATGAGATAAGGTTCTTGACAGTTATGACAAAAGTTGAGCATAAAATTCTGTTGTTCTTTTTTTTTAGTACATAGGACATCCAATATAAACAACATTAATAGGAATGGTTGAGATATTAGTCTGTACTATAACCAGAAAAAATTGAGGATCACCCAATAATAAATCCACTTTAGCATTCTTCTTCCAAAAAAACAAGAATTTATTGCTATTGTTGGCTGACCAATGAATAAAACCCAATTTCCTAATATTTCTCTAATTTTTTTCAATAGCAACAAGAGGTTCTGAAATAACTAAGACAGATAAACAGTGTAGTTTATCAAGGTTTTTCAATATAAGAGATGCATTGTTTTGAGCAATGCCCTTAATATTCCATTTGAAGGATTTAACAGTCATTGAAATGATATTCAAGTGACACTCTGGTGGTCCTGGGATAGGAGTGCTGAGTAATAGATTGGTGCTCAAGACTAGGCTGTAAAACTTATGCAGAAGGATTAAGCTGCTTTAACTCTCTTGAACCTTTAATTCTCCTTTTCTTGGACTTTTGAATGAGCCAATCATCTTCAAGAATAGTCCAGTTCTGTAATTCAATATGGTTCAATCTTCACCATCAGTTAACTCCGCCTCATAAAATACATTGTTAGATGTTTAATTGGAAACATTACCTTGGTTGAATTCACTACATATGACTCCTATACCATTATCAAGGGCATTTGTTTGAGTCTCTTTCAGAACTTCAAACATTAATGTAATTTGAATCACCTTCTTTGGAGTAGTGGTTGGCCCACTCTCAGTTCGTTCAATATTTGTATCCATCCCCACCTAAAATATGCCTTATACAGCAGACACATTCTTTTTCAATATTAAATTTAAAGCTTATGAGGAAGCATATTAATCTGTACCGGAATTTGGAGTGACCACATTAATAGTAGGTTGTGTAAGGGAATTGTTCACCTCAACAGTGGTTTTTGCATCATCAAATTTCCTTGGCTCATGGTTTTCTATAAAGCAATGGTCCAAGGTATGACCAAACATCCTACATTAAGAGTAATAATGAGGAAAAAAGTCCACCTCAACAAGCTGTCAGAAACCAGCATTTAGACTTCCTAACCATATGGAATCAAGGAAAGGTTGAGTTATTTCACTTTCAACAAGGACTCTAGCCATAGAAGGTCTAGTGAGAATATAGGTGAAAATATCTACCTTCACTTACTTACCATAAATAGTATTGCAACTTAAGCCCAAGGAATCTAAACCAAAAAGTTACAATATGTGATTCTTAAAGTGGATTGAAGTCAATTGTCCATTTAGGAACTTTCATATTGCTCTCATCCATAGTAAAGTGCTTCTTATAGAAATTTTGAGTATAATCTAGTTCCAACTACAATTTGATCATGATGCACCTATCATCAATGAGGTCAACATTACAATAGCCTTCCAATTTCAATTCAGAAAAGTGCTTTCTTATTATTTCCATGTTTGGGTGTGAGTAGGTGGACTTCCCCACTAAGTTGAACTTCAATGGGTCAGCCCAGGTTACATTTTCTGCTTCAGCGAACTAAAGGGCTAGCTTTCCATTCTTTCTAACAACTTTTTAAGTAGAGAGTTTGGATTAACAACTTCAAATTCCTCATGGTAATTTTTGGGAAATTGCAACTTCAGAGTATCAGATCGGTAGGTTTCAGTATTCCTATTCTTTTGAAGTGCATCCATATAAGAAGGTTTGTCCATGGTGAAAAGAGAAGATAACTTAAGAAAAGGCAACAAAAGCATAGCAAAAACCAACAAACAGTAACCCAACAAAGGAAAAAATTCTAAACTTTGAAAACCCAGAAAACTAAGAAAACTACAAACTAGAAGAAGGCCACAAATCAGTTCCAAGAGTACAAAAAAGCAAACAAAAGTTGAAGAGAAGGTATCAGCGGCCATGCTAATCCCAACCAGCCACCGCTATATATATATATATATATATACCCTTAAAGATGTGACATAGTTTTTTGGATGTGAACTAATTATTTGGAAAATGTGACATTGCATGATTAATCAACTGTTTCCAACATTTTCTTCACAAGTGTGATTCATAAGGCATATGTTATTTCTTTACCCGAACAATAAAAAATAGTGGAGTCAATAACACATTACCAAAAATCACCTAGTTTGGAAGTTCCCAACAACCCCAAAATTTATTATTATGAAGCATTTGGGACAAGATTTAGAGATTTGTAGAAAATGCCGGAAAATTGGAGCAAATATTCAAAAATATTATTTTTTTAGTGGATATCAACAATCCTAAAGTTAGGATTGAATGTTATATCCTTATAATTTCAAGATTTGCATCATTAATAAAATATTTTTTGAGGTCAAAACTTAAAAGGAATTTTTTGCTTTGATGATAATAGTGCTACCAATTTATCTTTAGTTATAAAATTATCCTTGAGAATGCTGGCAAAATTTTAATATTTTCATTTTTAGTTCAACCTTATAAGATGTCAAATGACTTGATCAAATGCATGCGAACTAGTTGGTCTGTTGATTGACAACTGTGGTGTAAGTCCTCTCTCGCCCGGGTTCGAGGCTCGTCGACCTTTGACGGGAAGGGGCGATAACACCTCTCCTTTAAAATCCCCCCCCCCCCCCCTTTCTTTTTTTTTTAAATGACTTGTTCAAACGTTTCATAACACCTCTCCTTCATTAAGAGATATGATCATGTTATAGTGATGTGTCATGTGTGACTTCTAAAAAGTAAGCAAAGAGCTACTTCCTTATTGAAAGCATTGACGTTATAGGTATTTGCAATATAGCATCCCTTCTTAAATATTCTTTTATTTGCTGTGGCCATTAAGTTTATCAATTTAGATGAGAATGAAAGCAGAAGATATAACTCTCTACATCATTATGGGGACGTTAAGTTGGGAGATGAAGGCATAGACATCCTCCATTGACCCAATAAATAAATAAAAGAAAACCTTCCGCTTGCCCCTAAAATTCTGACATGTTCGATCCAATCAAGGGGAGTTCAACACCTCTAAATATAGAAAACTGCGTTCCAAGATGAAGAAATCCAACAGTAAAATCCTGCATACGTGTTATATCACTGTTAAAAGACGCTTTATTTCCACCGTATAAAACCTGACCCTTAAAATCATTTACCAAAATTAGCAAATGACGACTCTACATCCTATATTTATCTTATTATCCACTAATCACAATCGGAGACGATAAAATGAAATGGAAACCGAGGGGAATGCGGTTTCGCAAAGCTCCCTCCTTGCGAGTAAATGCAGCCCGTGGGAGGCTTTAAACGCCAAACCGTCATCCCCGTTCTCATTTACTCCTCTCTCACCTTTCCATCTCCTTTCTCAGCAGTGAGTTTTGGCCGGAAAAAGCTGTTATTTTGGGGCGACGGCGACGGAGCTGTAAAAGGATGGGGGGTTGTTGCAGCAGAGACGATGTGGCCAAAGAGGGGCTCGGGAGCAAAGGCGAGGAGGAAGACGATGATGAGTTCTATGATGGAGGAGGCGTGGAGGCCGACGCACGTGTAAAGGAGGATGGCAAACGTGTGAGATTAGAGGGTTCTTGTGGATTCGCTTCCATGTACACGCAGCAGGGATTGAAGGGGGTGAATCAGGACGCAATGGTGCTTTGGGAGGTATTTTTTCCATGGATTTTGTTAATCGGAGTGAAAACTTTCTGCGTTTGTGAAATGTGCGTTTTGGGATTTTAAAGGGATCAATGATTGCATTTCCTTTCATAGTTTCTTTAAATTTTTTAGGATGTTGATTAAAAGTGATATATTTATTTTTAAAATTAGTTCTTTCTCTGACTTTCGGAAATGATTTTCTTACGATGCTATTTTTTGGGAGCATATTGAACATATCTAATTGGGCAATGGAGAAACAAAGTTTAATTTTTAATGTTGTAAGATGTGTATGTCGCTTATCTTTCTGGTTATAGTAAGAATTTGTAAGCAAAATTTCTTTTTTTTTTCCCCTCTTATAGTTCAGTTAGCTCTTCTCAAAGATTCTTTTGCCTTTTTTTTCAATGTTATTTAGGGGCTATTTGTTAACGAATTCTGTTAATTCTGTAAATGTGGATTTACTAAATTCTGCATTTGTAATTTTGGGACTTAAGGCAAGACTGACTGGAGATTGAGAAAAAATCAAAATTACTAAATTCATGATTTAAAAGTTGCCATTTTTTTCTCTCCGATACCATTTAAATCCAATCGGACTTAAATACCTTATTAGACTGCCCCTTAAAGAGCAACATCCCTTAAAATATGCAATTTCACTGGACACAAACAAAAAAGGTAATTGGAGAAAGGGCAATATCTTATTGAAGATCTTTCTCCTGTAAAAGAACAAAATTCACACGAAGGAATAAGTTTTGGTTGACGATCCTTATCATCATTATTAATTTTATTCCATTTGTTTAAGATCCGATTCATGAATCCTCATTTTTCTTTTATTAATTTGAATTCATTTCATTTCATAAATTTTTACATAACTTTCTTATTTAATTGACCACATAACTCAACATTAAATTGGCTCATCCAAGCAATAAAGAGATGCCTGACATAACAAAGAACGCGAGGGCTAATTGTCTAGAGAAAACTAAACTTGCTATACTCTATGTTAAATATGAACTTGCATTATGCATAAATAAACCTTCTTCTTCACTTCTTACTAATGTGTTGTTTAGGATTTTGGCGGCAAAAAAGGCTCCGTTTTCTGCGGAGTTTTCGACGGCCACGGCCCATTTGGCCACAAGGTTGCGGGTCATGTTCGCGATAATTTGCCATCGAAGTTGTCTTCTCATTTAGAAGCTTTGGCTTCTACTGAAAACCCTGAGGCTGATAGTGATCATAGCTTCTATAAAGACAAATCAGTTGAATTCAATGGCACGACTGAGTCTTATGAAACTAATAAGAATGAACATGGCAAATGGTTGTCTTCTTGGAAGCACATTTTCACCAACACCTTCGAGGAATTGGACTATGAGCTTAGCGTGAACACCGGCATTGATTGCATTTGCAGTGGAACGACTGCAGTCTCGGTTGTAAAGCTTGTGAGTATGATATTTTAATGATTTATTTAGCATCATTACCCATATACCCCAACCATTTTACTAAACTGCTTTTTAAGCCTGATGGATAGAAGCTTTGTTTGTTTATGTTAAGAGGGAGAATTTGTTAGTTGCCAACTTAGGCGATTCACGAGCAATTTTAGGCAGGAGGGATGAGAAGAACAAGCTTGTTCCAGTTCAACTGACTGTGGATCTGAAACCAAATCTTCCAAGTGAGCTTAAACTCGGCATTTTTCTTCATTCTGAATACTTTCTCTTTATTCTTCCTTCATTTTTTTTTTCTATGGAAATTCAGATGAAGCTGAGAGGATTAATAGTTGTAAAGGAAGAGTTTTTGCTCTTAAAGAAGAGCCTGATGTGCATCGGATATGGCTGCCTGATGATGACTGCCCTGGACTTGCCATGGCGAGAGCTTTCGGTGACTTCTGTCTTAAGGACTATGGCCTCATATCTACCCCTGAACTCTCTTCCTGGAAACTCACAGAGAAGGATGAGTTTGTTGTTCTTGCAACTGATGGGGTAAATTCCTCATTCATGAACAAATTGTCCCAATACTTGGTCCAATATCTCTTTTTTACTTGTCAATTAAGTTTGTTTTAGTTACAAAATATGTCATTTCCTACTGTTGATGCTTTGTTGTTTCTCTTCCAGTTATGGGATGTGCTATCGAACAAGCAGGTGGTTAAAACAGTATCTTGTTCCAAAAACCGCGCCGACGCCGCCAAGCTCTTGGTGCATCGTGCCGTCAGGACATGGAGAACGAGGTATCCGACATCTAAAGTCGATGATTGCGCGGTCATTTGTCTGTTTCTCAAGCACCCATGTCTCTCCCCTCATTCCTCATTTAACCGTGGAAGCCGCACTGCAAAATCTCGGGAACTGTCTTCCGCTGAAAGCTTCAAAACTGCAAGAAGCAGCGAGGAGACGCCGGAGGCGGCGAAGGCTTTCGTTGGTGCAAACAGAGAGGATTGGACTGCTCTTGAAGGTATCAGCAGGGTGAATTCCCTGGTGAGGATACCAAGGTTTGCTAGTGTTCTCAGCTGGCGCCGGAGTGCGATGAAGATCGAAGAACAAAATTTGGGAGAAGGAAAGAAATTGGACGAGCATTGCTGATGATTTTTAAGTTTGATTCAGAATAAAAATTGAATTTTGAGTTCAGACTTTGAAGTAAAGTGCAAGGGGTGAAAAGCAATGGGGTGAGGAAACATGGAATATTTACAGATTTCATGATTTTTGCATCACTTTTATGCCGGGCTTGTCTTATTCAATACCTAATGTAACAATTGATTGTCTTCAGTATTATGAATAATCGTGACATATTGCTGGCTGTATTTATTGTACGATCATAAGGACTGGTTATATGCGATAATGGAAAAATAAATTATTTATATATATAGATAATTAGCTCCGTTAAATTTTTTATAAGTTCAGGTATCATAATTTAAGATTTTTGGAATGATTTCATCATGTTAATGATCGAGCGAGTAACAGTCATTTGAAACGTGAATTAGGCTTGCAATTGGTAAAGTCACTCTAGAGGTTTGTGTTGACGCATAGTTAAAAATATATCAGCAAGGATATATTTGTGAAAATTTTTTCTTTTCTTTTGGGAATTTACATACATACCACCCAATTCTTATGTATTTACATATTTAAGACAAAATTTTTTACATGTTTGCATTTACACCATCAAAATCTTTCATATCACATAAAATATACCATCATTTTAACTTTTAAAAGTTAAAAAGTGAGAAACACCTTCATGAATGGGAAGGTGGTATGTATATAAAAATTGAAGTTTAGGACCATGTTGTTAGTTATGTAAATACATAAAGAATTGAGTGATATGTTTCTAAATTTTTTTTTTCTTGTTATTTTAGATTTTGATTAGGTTTTTGTAACAAATAGTATTATATCAATTAAATTGAATGGAGTAATTTATGAAGCTTGTGGCTCATTTGGGTTTTGGACCTTTTGGTGCATTTAGATTTCAAGGGCAAGTGGCATTTTTTTATTATTATAATTTGATTAATAGGCCATTTGGTGATATTTGATTATATTACAAAATTTATTTAGACAGACAATGTTGATTAGAGCTTAGGTTACTAGCAATATTAGTTTGTGTAGTAATACATAAATCTTGACAAACCCAGTTTGATAGCATTATTCTGACCACCGGCCCACTCGGCCGTAGATCACTCCTACTTTTCTTTGCGTGCAGTCACGTTTCTCTAGTTCAAAAGCCTCTCTCTCAGGTCACATTCAAGCTTCAATGAAATATTGAGGGAGATCATATTCAATCTTCAATGGAATGTTGCTTTCCCAAATATATTAATAATTTGAGAATTTTTCGAACGAAAATTATAAAGAATTAAATCTTTAATTATTGTACGGCTAAATGATTTATAGATATCAAGTATAATGGTGCATTTGCATAAATATTACTCAATTCTTATATATTTGTATATTTAATCCTTAAACTTTACTTTTTAAAGTTATACCTCACAAATCTTTTATATCACATCAAAAGTATCTCCTAGGGGTGTAAACGAGCCAAGCTTGATTGAGACTAATGTTGTGCAAAACAATGTGCAAGTAAAATCTAATATGAAACAATCAAACATGATGCGATTTACGTGGTTCGGCGCAAATCCGCCGACATCCAAGGGGTGAGGATATTTCACTATCAATAGTTGGGAGAAAGAAAAGAATGACCGAACTTGGGTACAACTTGATACACCAAAATCTGCGCTAATCTCTTCTACAAATAAGAGAGAATTAGGGCATACTATAAAAAATAAAAAAAATGATTTACTTGGCCTTTTTACCAATAAGCTTTTAATGCAACAATCTTCACATAATCTCTCACTTCTACATAAGTAGGATAAGACCAAAATAAACACCAACACCAAAATGACAGCACAAAGATGGTTTCCTACATACTGCCTCTAGAAGGGATAAAGCCTCATGTAGTTTTTCAAAAATGCTCGAATGGGCAACCAATCATAAACTCAGATGTTTACCAAACTTTTGTAGTAGGTGAATTTCTAGATCGGTTGTACTTTCGTTAGCATGTCCACTGAATTCTCCTTTGTATTTATCTTCCTCAATAGAATATTTTTGTCATCAATCAAGTCTAGAACAAAGTGGTACCTCAAAACACAAATGTTCTTGGCACGAAAATGATGAACTATTAACCTTACTTTTGGTTGAGGTTTAGTTTTCCCTCTTTAATAGCCTAGGGCCCAACCATAGGACTTTCCTGTTGACTATTTCTAGAAAACTAGAAAAGGGATCCCTCACCATTAGAAACTCTATACTCTTCTTTGCTCAACTTGAAGTTCCAAATATTAGTTCTAACCTCTAGCACTTAATAGGTGGGGTCAGTATAGAGGATCTCAAGGAGAGTCCACATAGGACTGCTTGTCCTTAGTGCTGACTCTGGGTGTTGTTCTGGAGCTAGTTCACTTACATACACTCACTATCTCCTATACCCAGTTGCAACCCTAAAACCCAGATTTGTTGACTTTGATCCCTTAATCTTTTGGGAGACTCCTGTAGATGGTCCCCCAGACCCGCTAGCCTTAGGCTAGGGTTTAGCTAAGACCAGTGCATAGAGGACCCAAATAGGGATTTCACTGGTCCATAGTTCATGCATACTGGTTGGTACCCCAATTCCACCGAAATATCCAACTTGGCCCTTTGCCCCCAAATTACCTAAATGCCCTTGAAACCTTAAGTTTGGCCAAAATTTCCAAATTCACCCAAAATACCCTCCAAATTCACCCAAAATACCCAAATTTGTTCAAAAATCATTTCAAATCATATGAAAATACCCAAATTGCCCAAATCCACCCAAAAATTCCAAAATTACCCAAATACCCTCAAAATTGCAAAATTACAAAAATACCCTTGGTGACCCAAACTTTCCCAGAACATCCAAAGTCACTTAAAATATCTCCAAAACCAATTTGGACCCTTCAATTGAACCCAATTTGACCAATGTAACTATTTTGTCCAAAACCCCTAAATTGTCTTTAAAAGCCAAATTTACCCAAATTCACCTCAAATGTCCATCAATTTAGCCCCAATTCCCTTAAATTTCAATCCTAAACTCAAATTAGTTTTTCATATGATCAATCCAAACCAAATTAAAGCCTAATTGACCCATTCTTTGAGATCAATTTTGATCCGAGTCAAAACCCCCAATTTTGACTATATGACTCAATCTCATCCAATTGAACCCCATTTCCCACTCAATTGCCTCAATTTGAATCCTAACTTTTTCATAACAATACTACACATCAAATTTGACCCTCAATTAGCCTTGTTCAAGCCTTAATTTCACCCAATTTCAACCCACATTCAAAATCACCAAATTTGCCCCAAATTGGCTATGTCCTCAAATTCCAAAACCCAAAAATTGACACCCAAAAAATTGACACCCAATTGATGTTAAAAACTCTTAATGAAATTCCTATATACCATTTTAAATCATCAATTTGGACCTAACCCAACCCTAGCCCAACCTAGACTCAAGTCTAACCCAACACCCCTAAATTGTCCAAAATCCCAAAATCCTTTAAATTGAGCTTCCAATTGAACTCAAAATTACTTCAATCCTTCACAAAAAACCTTACTTACAATCATATACACAATTTTTATCAATCAATTGAACTCAATGTCATGGCTACCTAACCCAAACCCAACTTCTAGTCACTTGACCAAATTTGAACCCCTGCACCCAAAATTGAGTTAGCCATACCTAAGTCACCATATTAATGTCTCCACAGCCACTAAGCTCCTCCTTTGGACCAGGATAAACCTTCCTAAATCCACCCGAGCAAGCTATGGACCAATGGGTCCCTAAATTAAGGGATTTATTCCCTTTTTTGAATCATAATCAAAATATCTTTCCCATCATTACTTGCCATTAGGGGTAAATTATGATTAAGCCTCCCCCTGGCTCACCTAACTTTCTGGTCACCTCCCTTGGCCTTGTAATACACCTAAAATATATAGTGTTTTTAGACACATTTTTATGCCTATTTTTTAGATATTGAGCTTTAATAGAAGGTATTTGTGTGTTTTAGAAGGTATTTGTGTGTTTTTAATAGAAGGTATTTGTGTGTTTTTCTTTTAGGTACAAAAAAAAAGGTGAAAAATGCTAAAATGAGTGAAAAAGGATCAAATTTGGAGCAAAAATATAAAAATTGTGCGAAAGTATTTTGGCCCCTAAGTGCCAAATTTGGCGCTTAAACGCGGGTGAAACAGAGAAGGTCGCACCTAAGCGTCAAAGGCAGTTATTTGGCGGTTTTCTTCATTTTGCCAACTTTTGAAGGGATATTTGAAGCACCTATAGGTTAAAGAGGGTGGTTATGACAACTAGAAACAAAATTATGATTAAGGGACTTGTGAAATGAGGCATCCTTTAGAGAATACATCAAATTGGGACACATGTTGAAGAGTTATGAAGGCACCTCTTGGAAATTTATAAAAGAAGGAAGTTGAGACTTTTGAAGTGTTCTTGAAAGTTTTGAAAAGTGTTGGAAAGGGGGAGTTTTGAGAGAAAATTTTAGAAAGATTTTCAAGCACCACAAATTTACTTTATCCTTTTTGTTTTTTGTTTTATTGTGAGACTTAAGAGTGTTGTAAAAGAGAAGAGATTGAAAAGAACTTCAAGAGTGTGTTGGAGAATTTGAGATAAGTTTTTATCTTTGTTATTAAACTACTTTTTATTTTAATCGAGACTTCTTGTTGGTTTGAAAATGATTTCTACTTTTAAACTAAAGCATGGTTTTATTTTCTTCATGGATTCTGAGTAGTTTTCTTTATCTTTCTCCTTAAAATAATAAGTAATTAAAGTGTTGGATGGAAGTTGTGAAGAGTATTGAACTTTAATGTTGGAAGAAGTTGTGATAATTTAAATCCATGTACTTCATTTACTTCTAAATTTGGCCTATCCATATGTTAAAATTTATTGTGAGAACATGTAAGAACTAGGCTGGTATTGTCTCAGTCAAC